ATATATATATAAATTGTAATACTAATATATATATAAATAACTTAATATTAAAAAAAAATTTAAAAAATTCGGGCAATTCGGGCGGGCTCGGGTCGCCGAATACAAGCCCGCGGCCCGTTCAAGGTGAAATTCGGGCTCGGGCGGGCGGCCCCAAAATCTCGGGCGGGTCGGGTTTGGGCTCGGGCAAATCCTCGGGCTTTTCGGGCGGTCGCGGGCGGCCCGTCCAAAGTTCCAGCACTAGTTTAGTGCCTCTTTAAATTTATTACATTTATATACATATATAGCATGTTCACTTTTGAAGGCTAAGGTAAAAGAAATTAGGTAAGGTATCATGCCACGCTTCGACTTATAGGCGATGAGAGGTTAAATTCTTACAACTCATTGTGACAGGAGATTTGACTAGATAATTTAATTCAAGATCTTCAGTGTTGTCAGACTCAGTGATTGTTTAGTTGGGGGATTCGTACCCCGATTCGAATCATAGTTTATGGTTCGTTACAGTATTTTCTCTCACAAAACATACACGTAAATAAAAAATGGTTATAATCTTATGATTCTAATCCATGAACCAAACGTCTCCTAAAGTGTTTAGATAACTCCACTGACGTCTCATTAATTGCACGCAAACTGATACGAGTACATAGTCCATTTGAATAAGATATGCATGAATAAATAAGCACAATCAATAATGCATTTATTTTTACGCAAATGTCTTCGTGAGAAATATTTGTTCGAGCTTTCGCACATTAAATTTGTTCATGATGTAAGTAAGAAAGCTCTGAACCAATACACAGCTGACGCTATGCAGAGTGATCAATTGCAACGCTATGCAGCACAACCGCTTCCGCCGTCAAGCCTGGCCCGCATCCGACTAGGACGCCCCAATCTAATCCCTCACCAGTCGTGACCTTCCCTTTCTCTATAGATTTCTTCCGCATATCATCCAATACAAAAAAGACAGACCCACCAGCCATGTTTCCATACTCGCTCAGCACATGACGGCTAGCCCGTAATTTCTCCTCTTTTAACCCGAGCTTTGCTTCGAGAAAGTCAAAAATTGCCCGCCCGCCAGGGTGAGCTATCCAAAATATCGAGTTCCAATCTTTTATGCCGACAGGAGTAAAAGCCTCCTCCAAAACATTCTGCATATTGTCAGCGATCAACTGTGGAACGTTTCTTAGTAATTGTAATGTCATCCCGAATTCCCGCAAGTGCCCCTCAACCGCTCCCTCTGAATCCGGTAGGATAGCCTGTGCTGTGTGCGCCAATATGAATATTGGTCGCTCGATAAGAATGTCGGGATCAGCACCAACTACGGCAGCCGCAGCTCCATCTCCGAAGATTGCCTGCCCAACAAGAAAATCCATATGGGCCTCCGAGGGAGCGCGAAAATTGAAGGTCATGATCTCAGAACAGACAACGAGAACTCGGGCTCCTTTGTTGTTCTCAGTCAGGTCCTTTGCGAGGCGAAGGGCAGCGGCACCAGCAAAACAACCGTTCAGGCACGTCATGGTGCGGTTGACGGAGGGAGGGAGGCCTAGGAGCTTGATGAGGTGGTAGTCTGGACCAGGAATGGCGACGCATGATGTGGTGCAAAAGACAAGGTGAGTGATATTAGACTTGGGTTTCCCCCACTCCTCTAAGGCTTTGATGGCTGCTTCCTTTGCTAACTTTGGAATCTCTGGCTCTGTCATTTCTTGGCGCTTGTCGAGAGATGGTTTCATAAAGCTGCAAAGACCAGGGTTTTTCTTGAGTATTTCTTCAGTCAGGTACATGTGTCGTTTCCTTATCATTGTTTTTTCACCTATTTCAAATTAGAGGATACAAAGGTTCCGTTAACCAAAAGAACATAAATATGAGGAAAAAAAAAAAGAAAAACAAAAAACAAAGAAAAAGATTGCTAGTACTTTCACTAGTACTTAAGAAAAAGTGAACAAACCCCAAAAAAAGTGATCCGGATGTTGTTCCCTCTGCACCTCCAATATTATTGAATATAAATACGTATTACATGAGTAAGTAGGTCGTATTTGTACAAACCGATTTCATAATGGTTCTACACCGGGTCCGTTTAGGGTTTACGATAGACAATATTGCAATAAGTTGGGGGGTGAATGTGAAAAGTACCCTAATAAAACTAGACGTTAAAACCTTACCATGCAAAAACTCAAATGAGATAAAATATTTTTAAGGAAAAATGAATACATTATACGTCTTAAGTTAAAACAAAAAACAAAAAGTATTACCGGTTGTCCTGCCATTATGGTGTGGCTTATCGTAGCCGTGAGGGATGGACCATTCAGGTGTCTGTTAATTAAAGAAACAATGGAGATATATCTATAGCATTATTGACGTATACTTACACATGAGTTTGAATTTTTCTTTTAGCCGAATCATGTGCTCGCTGTTGGTGGTGCGAAACAAAAAATCAGGATAATCAGCTTGCAAAACACAATTGGATGGAACGGCAGTACCAATTGCCAGGATGGTAGCCGGACCTTCAGAGTGCTGACCCTTTCGGAATTCTTCGACGGATTCCATCGTACGTACAAATCCGTAGAGACAGTTAGGCCTTGTTATTTTCACAACTCAAATCACGAAGTGTTTACTCTCACAAAAATTTAAATTCAACTTTTTTTTTGTTTAAGTGTTTTCTCTCACATAAAAAGTTTGAGTTATAGCTTTGAGTTTTAAAAAGCACACACTGTTCGTGTATTATCATTCACACACACACACACACACACACACACATATATATATATATATATATATATATATGGTTTTTTGAGATGCACAATTGCATGGTAGGTGTAGCTACCCTCGAAAACTAAATAATAATGATTGAGCGGTAGGTGGTTTGTAAAGATCAAGGAAATAATAATGAAATCTTCGGTTGTTTTATAAAGTTCGAGGTAGCTCTTATGGCTATAAGTTTTAGAATCTTGATTGTGATCTCCTCTTGCTTTTTTTATAGCCAGTGTTTTGGAAGACCAGCCCTAGCATTATTGGTTTTCTTACTGCTATTGATCTGTTTTATATTTAGAATCAACAAGTAATTTATGGTTCACATGGATCACATGGATTTGCAGTGGTAGCAGGGCAAGACTTTCTTAAAAAAAATTAAAAAAGAAAGAAAGAAAGAAAGAAAGAAGGAAAGAAATAAAGAAAGAATGACTTAAATAGAATATTTAAAATGATGATTAATAAATAATTGCGTAATTCTTTAGAATAGATAGATAGTACATATCATGAATTAATATGTTAGGTTTCTAACACTATCAAAAGAATTAAAAATACCCTCATCTCCGATCTCTTTCCCACACCTCTCTCTCCTTTCCTCCCTGCTCATGTCCACTAACCTACAACAATGACTGATGAATACTAAATTTACCCGTAAATTCAGTCGCCGGCGACTGATAAATCTTGAATTTATCAATAAATTGGGCCGCCGGCCACTACTATGTAAAAAGCTTTAAAAGTCACCTGAAAAGGGCCGTCTAAGGCCTTAGACATCGCCCGAAAAGTGACGTCACATTTAGATAGGCGTCGCTAAAAAAACTATATTAGACGTTACTTTTTCAAGTGACGTCTAATAGTTCTTTAGACGTTGCTTGTCGGGCAACATCTATAGTCCTTTTCTCTGGGTTCATTTAAGAAACTTTAGAATAGGCACGACTAAAGTTCAATTTTGAAAATAATAATAATAATAATAACAATAATACTAAGATTTTTTTCTCTGTTTTTATACGCAATGACAGCACATTTTCGTGTAATTGTTATTCTATGTTTGCTCCTTCCAGAAACACAAGTTCATTACTTGTGAACAAATTGGAAAAATAAAAAAAATAAAAAAAAGGAAGATGATGATCATGATTAAAAAAAAAAACGAAAACAAGTGTGGAAATAATTATCTAGAAACAAAAGTTTACAGAATAAAGGATAAAATAATAATAATAAGAATAATACTAAGATTTTTTCTTTTTTTTTTATACGCAATGATTGCTCATTTTTCGTGTAATTGTTATTCTGTGTTTCTCCTTCCACAATCACAGGTTCATTACTTGTGAACAAATTGGAAAAATAAAAAAATAAAAAAGAGGGAAGATGATTAAAAAAAAAAACAAAACAAGTGTGGAAATAATTATTTAGAAACAAAAGTTTACAGAATAAAAGATAAAATAATAATAATAAGAATAATACTAAGATTTTTTTCTCTTTTTTTATACGCAATGATTGCTCATTTTTCGTGTAATTGTTATTCTGTGTTTCTCCTTCCACAATCACAGGTTCATTACTTGTGAACAAATTGGAAAAATAAAAAAATAAAAAAGAGGGAAGATGATTAAAAAAAAAAAAAAACCAAATAGCAAGTAATGAGCTACTGGATGGTTTCGTGTGTCATTTTACTTCAGCGAGTTGATTATAAAGCTCGCTTTTTCGACCAAAGTGGTTCAGTTGTTTCTGCAACTCGAACCAAGTAATGGGACTTCTCAAATCTTTGTAATAGCATTTCAGTCTGTCTTTTCTGGTCTTCCATTCTAAAAACTGATTCACTGAAAGATACATCATTTTTTGGATCAATCTTCAATAGGTTTTCAGCATTCTTACCTATATCTTGGCCAGCGGGACTAATTTATAGATTTTCAGCAGCATTCTTACCAGGAAAGAAAACAAAGGAGCGATCCAAATCCAAAGTGCATAATGAATTTATATCTGACCCATCTTTCCAATCATCCGGGAGTACCTCTATAAGATCACAACACGCATTAGATGCAACAAATTGTAGCATCTTAAATCTTAAAACTGTCTAAACTTAAATAGAAAATGAAAAATAAGACTACTCAGAAACAAAAAGTGAACAACTAATTAATATTTCATCACCATCAGATCCTCTTCTAAATTAAAAAAACAAAAGTACTGGTTTCATGCGCTAAACACATATAGAGCAGCAAAAGAACTAGGCCGTTACTTAGAACCTTTCAGAACAGATCATGAAGATAATTCTCAGCATCAAAATAACAATAACAATAACATCAGCTTTATCTGTTGTTACACCATGGCAAAAATATGCAGCCGTGAAAAGTATTTGCCATAGCTTTTTTCCCCCTCTTTTTTCAAGAGATGAAATTTCTTCTCCAGCGTATAGATAGTCTAATACAATACGCAGCCATGAATTTTTTTCCCTTTAACACTTCGATTTAAACCTTCGGCCTCACCAAAACCTCTGTTTCCATACATTTTCAAACCCTAAATTTCACAAAAAAAAAAAAAAAAAAAAAAAAAACCCACCCAAAAAAAAAA